AAAAAAAAAAAAAAAAAAAAAGAAAAAAAAAGATAAAGGAGCAAAGAAACCGCGCGGTATAGATTTTTCTAAATTCAGTGCAAGTTGGATAGTGGACAGGAGAGAGCGTATACGGTTCGGATTAGTCGTGTACGTCGGTCGCCTCTCACCCTTCTCGAGGATTTTCCCTCGTTAATTAGCTGGTGATTAATTATAGGGGTTGGCCACGATAAAAAGCTCCCCCACCGTGTAAAATCGCGGTACACCGGTTACCCAAGACGATCGTTTATCGTCTGTTTCCGAGCCTTTTCAATTCGAGCAATGATTTTTTCCCTCCCCCCTGCCGCACGCGGCCGATTTCTCTTTCCGGTATGATTTATCGTTCCACCGTGGTGAGCATAACTGAACCAATAACTACGGATTAAATCATTTTTCATTGCCAGTAACGAGCTATACAAAATCGTAGAAAATTTTTGCACGATCAATTGCCAGTTTAAACGATCCTTTCCGTGTGTGATGCAAAAGTCGATTTTTCCCGGGGAATTAAATTCATCCCGAATTGTCATCGAAGAGCCTAAAGTTCTAGAAACTAAAGATTTCTAGAGTAAGTGTCGGTCAAATTATTCAAATGAAAAAATTCCACTAGTAAAAAGAAACGTCGCGCAAAAAACCGAACCAACCCGGGTATTAACAATTTGTTTACTTTGGTTTCAATTATTCGTCCGTACTGTTTTAATACCAACAGGTCGTAGGAAAGAATTTATACTAAACCCCGTGATTAATGGTTCTCTTACGCTCCCCTGCTGCACCAGCACGTGTCTTTATTTTCACAGAGAAGTTGCGGAACAATGATTAATCTCGCGTGAAATACGACGCCTGTTTTTGCCCCGCGGAGGAGAATCATCCGAGAATTCGATTCTAATTAAACCGCGTTTCCCAGCGAAGCCACGTCGTCGTCGTCGTCGCGAAACAACCTCCCGCAATTCAAGTTTTCGGTCCCGAGATCTCTCACGGTACCTCCGGGGAATTTCGCGGCGAATTCGGCGCGTGCACGTCGCACGTCACTTGGTTGAAAAATCTCGCCGACTGGCGCGAACAATTTCCACGGGTATTTCCCGCGGTATGAAATCCGCCGCGAGCTTCGGCCTCTCCCTCTGCCCTTCCCCGGTACGTCCGTTTGATCCGCAGGCAAAATAAGCTGTTCCTTTCTCGCCTCGTCGGAATAAAGGGTACGATATCTCGCGGTCTTACGACCGTTCTTTCCTCCGCCCTCTATAAAGTTGCGTTTTTTATCATCCTGTCCGGACGTCAAGGGATGATACGCGGCTCTTCGTCATTGGTTGCCGCGGAATCTGAATTTGAATTGAATAATTTTTATCAACCCCTTGCGAGCTTAGATTAGATTCTAACAGCTGCTTTTTTTTGTGTTATTTTGTTTCTTGGTTTTATCGCTAAATTCGTGTGAAATATCATTCTTTCGAGAAAGGATTTCTATTTTTGTATATTGCAGACGTTAATATTACGGAGGTGGACCTTAAGGGATTAGGGAAATATTATTTCGTTTGTTATATTTAATCGTGTTGTTTGAATCTGATGATTTATCGCGTCGTGATCCTGATACTCCTCGGTGACCAATTTGTTAATCCTCTGTGAAAGGATTGAATTGAATTACGCTCAGATTTAATCTGTTCGTAGCTTTAAACTTTTAAAAATTTCTGAAAATATCCCGAGGTGCTCGTTAATTGCACAATTGTTTTTTTTTATAGTTTGAAACTTCCTCCGACGAAGGCGTAACTTCTTTTCGACGAAATCCCAAAGTGGAATTCAGCAAATTCTCTAGAAATCTGAAATACAGTTAAAATACACCGACGAAACAAAATGTTTTCCAGCAACCGAAGAACGTAATATACCCCTGCACGTGTTACAAATTAAATAAAAAGTAAATTTACAATATACTTATACACGTGAGTGTCAATATCGACAATATCTTTTTCCTCAGATTCCTGCTCGATACTCGAAACGTTTATTTTTCTTATTATCGCCAATCCTCGCGTCGCGCTTGCCGCATTTTTCTTCTCTCTATCGCCGGTTTTTTCTATATCCCACCTTCCCACCTCTGTCGCCACGTCGTCAGACGAGAGCGTGTCGTGCATAACATTACGTCGGCACAGTCGCTAGGATCGTAGTCGAAATCTCACGCGAATGATCGCGACTCGATTTTTCACCTTGAAGCTCGCGGAGACCTCGGCGACGGCCGTCTTCCGCTGATAAGCGGCCGCCGTTCGATGATCGATTCTTCAACACGTCATTGCCGCTCATTTGTCGGTGACGTCGGTTTCCTGTCTGATACCAAAGATGCGATCGAATACCTCGTACTCGAGCTTTTAGTCGTTGGATTCTTCGAATCTTTTACAAACATTCGTTTACAGGTATTCATTTTTATTACGATCTTGTTAGTTAGAGCTTAGGAACTAAAGAAACTATATTCTGAAATTTGGACGAAATATTTATACGTAGCATATATGTTAGGAATTTCGTTTGTATTGAAACTGTTGTAATTTTGTAAAGCAACAATAAATCTGAGGGGCTTATTTTAAAGCTTGAACTACTCTACTTTACTCAACATGCATCATTTGTTTTACTTTAGAATATTTTTACACATGTTTTTACGTAACAGATGACGAAGTGAAAATGCAAATTGAACGTTGGAAAAATTTTTTTCATAATCGTGTTTACAATGGACTCAAAACCTTGCCGCACGAGGTCTTTTTTCGCCAATTTATTGAACTTGAATTTTCGTCGTCCAAGTCTAACATTCAAGATGACCAAAAAAATAATTACACATCATGTTTTTGGAGTGTCAATCTTCAAGTCCATTGTAAACTCAGTTATACAAAAAAAATTTTCCAATATGTCTACACACCGTGAAAATTTATAACAATTTACCCATCTACTCTGCGCGACATAAACAC